TAATGAAAGTTCATAATTCTGCTTTTGTGCAGATCCTATTACCTACAGACAACAGCCATTCCTTTCAATTAAAGGTTTCAATACAGTGTGTCTAGGGGAGAGCACTCACAGGAGAAAATGTGCTCTCAACCAGCAGTTAAAATCAAGCTTAATACTTTTTAAATCTTGCATTGCCCAAACTGGCCTAAGCAAATAATGAATTGTACTGATCAGAGGAGGAAAAGAAATGGATTCGGATGTTCATGATACACCAATTTATTGCACATACACACTTGATGTTATACCACTTTAAAACACTATACAAAGTTCAAAATCTGAGGACTTAAAGTGGTAAATAGAAGTTGCTAGTGACACAACTTGTGGCAGGGAGAAACTCTCGAAGCTTGAAGTACAGCAATGTAACTCCTTGTACATTAAAAAGAAATATCCTGCCAGTCACTGGAAGGTCAGTTTGAGCCAATTAACTCCCTCAAATGAGCTTTAGAGGGTATGGGGAGTGGGGAAAGGGAAGAACAGAGGGGGTTGCCTAGAATAACTTTCCCTGCATGGTTTTTCTAAACATTTCTGTACCTGCCTCTCCATTAGGAACATGGGAAGCTGCCTTATATGGAGTCAGGCCCACCTGGAGATGCTGGGGATTGAACCTAGAACCTTTTGCATGCAAATGAGGTGCTCCACTACTGACCTATAGCCCTGAACAGGATCCAGCAGCTACATCCCCTCCACCATTCCCCTGCCTGAATACAGACCAGATTCCCTCTGCCCCCAACCAAAAATAATCAAGGAGATGGAGGAACTCCCTTGTCACTTGTATTCTTGTTTCAGTTTTGCCAGGGCCTTTCTGGCATTTTCTTACCAACCACATTGGTGCAAATGCTCAGACTTCACACAAATGTAATCAGGGCTCCCCCCCGGCAGAACACGCTGGAACTCAGTTCCACATCTCTCAAGTAGGCTCCTTTGCCATTATAAGAGAACAAGGGAGGCGTTCATGGTGAGTTCCGGCACTTCTTTATATATAAAATTAGCACTATATGCAATGTTGTAAAGCTGGAAAAGGTGCAGAAAAGGGCAACGTAAATTACCAAGGGGCCGGAGCAAATCCCTGATGAGGCAAGGATACAGCTTTGCAGTTCTGAGAAAAGGCTAGTAAGATAAGATGTGATAAGAGGTGTATAAAATTGTGTGTGGCACCGAGAGAGCAGACAGTGAAACGCTTTTCTCCCACTTTCGTAAATACTACAACTCGGGGACATTCAATGAAGCTGAATGTTGGAAGATGCAGAACAGACCAACTAGCACATGGTTCGGTTATGGAGTTTGCTCCCACAAAAGGTAGCGACGTCTACCAATGGCTTTAAGACGATTGGACAAATTCATGGAGGATAAAGCTTTCAGTGGCTTCTAGCCATGATGGCTATATTCTTAGCTCTACTGTTGAAGGCAGCATGGCTCTGAATGCCTAGCTGCTGGGAACTGCAGTTGGAGAGAGCGCTATTGTGCTTTGGTCCTCATTGTGGGCTCAGGAGCCTCTGGTTGGCCACAATGAGAACAGGATGCTGGTGGAGATGAACCTTTGGCTCTTACGTTCTTGCATAGGAGCTGTTTCCAGTTGTGCTATTCCATGTGGCTGCCGTGAGCGTTTCTTCATTACACATCACACCTGCCTAAAGGCTTTTTGCTTCCATGGGATCATCTGCTTTCATACAGAATGGCAACATCTGATGTGGCAACTCTTTTATCAAAAGCACAGATGTATTTTGTTGTGGGAATGATCTTCGTCAGTTGCCCCATGCCTAAGTTCTGGTATACTGTGGTATACAGCAGGTCATGGGGGAGAGGCAGAGAGGCGAAAGGCTGGGCAGGCAGGTGGGCCTGCCTCATAGGAGGCTGAATAAGATCCAAATGTGAAATGGTATCTGTTTGAACAAAATATTTGCACAGCATATATCCATTATACTTATTAAGCTCATGATAAACAAACTTTCCTTTTATTTATAGCTGTCCTTCATAGTGTAGAGGACATTTATTTATATATTCAGGTCTTTGGCACTGGACTCGTATTTTCAAAAGACTTGAATGAGTTTTATAGGACACATTTAATTTCATTTGCAGATGATAAATTGGCATGTTTATTTTGTGATATGTGCTGTGAAAGCGCAGTGGAGTAAGGAATAGAATTCTTTAGTGTGCTCCTCTATTCAGTCTTGTTACAGATTTATCAAATGAACAAGATGCATGTGCAGTCGTACCTTGGAAGTCAAACGGAATCCGTTCCGGAAGTCTGTTTGACTTCCAAAATGTTCAGAAACCAAAGCGTGGCTTCTGATTGGCTGCAGGAAGCTGCGGAAGCTCCAGTAGATGTTCGGCTTCCAAAAAAAAGTTCGAAAACGGGAACACTCACTTCCGGTTTTCAATTATTCGGGAGTCGAAACGTTTGGCAACTAAGCCATTTGAGATCCATGGTACGACTGTACTGCAAGGAAATGTTCAATATAGGTTGGTATAAAGACAGACTATGAACAAGTAGTACGAGCATAAAATAAGCTGCAGGTTTACTTCTTTGACTACTACTTCCATTAAATAGAAGCAATGTGATCAGGACTTGGTACCTAACAGCTGTCCAAGGAACACAGAAGAGGAGCCATGGGTGGTTCTACAAACATTTGAATTTAATAGAAACTCAGTGGTTTGCAATAAATATAAATGTCTTGAATGTGATCAGAGGTTGCTGCACCCTAGATTACTGTAATGGTCTCTGACCATTAGCTCTTTGGCCAATCCTGATTATATATCAACTCCTTCATCAAAATGAATACGATTGCTGCTTGCACAACAGATCAGCCAGCAATGAGTTTGGGAAAGTTGCTCAACATGTTATGTGCTGAGAACCTGGCAGTTCAGCACAATTTAAAGCAGAGTTCTTTTCCTGTATTTGCCAAATATATGTAAAACACTTGGACAGAATAAGGAAATATGGCTGCTGATCATAAATTTTGAACAGAAAGGTAATGAGATTAGGGTTCAATATTATTTAGTACGTTTCCTCAATGAATTGGCAGATATGGTCTCTAGTTCCTTTTTGGCTCGTATCTTAATATTTTTACTTCTGTTTGTTGTAATGCTTGTTTTCCACTACTAGGTGTCACTATAATGCTGATTACTAATCTAAAAAGACTCCATCAGTGACAGATAATAAACATATGCTCACAGAACAGCTTGTACTTGGAAGTAAGCCCCTCATTTATTAAGAATATGGTATAAGCCAAATTCTGAGGCTATTTCCAGAGTCTCTATGCAACTTTTAAAACAAACTGAATATTCTTTTGCTTTTTTTTTTAAAGTCGATAATTAGAAAAACTAGACAAACACTGGTGTTTAAATCCAATAATTTTCTGAAAGTTTAATATAGTTTTAGATAAAACTGAGCTTGCAGTATTAATGAGTACAAGAGTTTGTTAATTTTTTTTATATTATCCAAATAAAGTTGTACATTTATACAGTTATAGAGTGCATGCCAGAAAATGCAATTACTTGATTCTAATTTGAATATGTACAATTTACAATATAATTCAAGCATAAATTCAGCAGTCAAAAACACAGACCTGCTGTGCAGTCAAACAGAATTGTCTTGGTAGCATAAGCACTAGGGCCGGGCGGAAAAGCGAATGATGAAACCAGAGTGGCTGCTTGACTAGTAAAAAAGATTACTAATGAAAAAATATACAATCGCTTAAAAAAAAACTTCCAATTTTTTTTTATAACCACTCTTTGCTGTATTGATTAAAAGCAAAATATATTTTAATCTAAGTACACAGTGCATGCTGCAGGGTTGGCTAAACAATCTTAATTCCAGCAGAAAAAACTATTTTAGCTTAATATTTCAGGTCCTTTGAATAAATTGAAGTTAACTTTTTTTTGAACACCATGAGATACTGTGCATCCTCACAAGTGACTAAAGAACAATCCTGTTTCTGCGTGCTATTTTGCGCTGCACAGAGATTGCCTTGTGCTGCATAGATGAGTAACTCCTCTTACTCCTATGCAAACTCAGATCCTAACACATGATTAAATAGTAGACAATTCATTCATTATTAAAGTTTCAATAATGAGGCATGGATAAAGTTAACATTTAACCATGAGACAGGCAAGTAGCACAAAATGTCCAGCCTCCACACTTAAGTACAGAGAAGTGGCGTTTTTTCTCCAAGAAACAATGTGAGTTCTTTAAGATGTGTGTACAGTATGCCATAGAAATCAAATTACATATTGCCAAAGAGGCTCTTAAGAGGTGGGTGTGGAAAAAACTGTATAAGTTATTCACACAGCGGAATTCTGGTCACAAGACGGGTTCTCTATTTTTTGCTGTGTTTCTTCGCATGGAATTACAGACACAGTGAAATGAATTGACAGTTTGAGCTTAAAGGTCGAACAGCATGCATTTCAATTCACACATTTTAAACTAGTAAACGAAGTTGGAAGAAAATGCAAAGCTTGTACAAATACAGCGTGATAGACACATCTCGCTGTGTTATCTGGGTTTCACCCCTTGGCTCCACAAGCAATGTGGCATAGTTTCCTTTTCACTGCTTATAGTTTACAAAATGATTGACTATTTTCAGGTTTTGGTAGATCTGCTATTATTTTTGCCATTGAGCTATGAATTGGTCACTCATTCATGGTTTTTTTTTTTTTCTTTTTTCCAAATGGTTCAGAGCCCTTTTGAGATGCTAATGTATATATGGATTCATATTTAGCTAAATGTATGTCATTTGAATAAAATAACTTTAATTTTCTATTGTCCCACCAACACTCAAAACATACCCCACCCCAACCAACCAATTTTCAGGTAATTTAAAACAAATGGCTTCACACAGAATCCAAAACTTGGACAGATTTAGTACTCATTGGTTTTAATCAACCCTGTTTTGTTCCACAGAATAACCGCTACATACTATACAAAGAATTGAAAGAACAGCGATGAGGGTGATCTAGAAGATATGCATCAACATGGCACTGCTACCAGTTATCTTATTATCACTCAGGGTGAGTCCATTTATGCATGTTGAGCACTTGATGGCAAGATCTAGAAATGACTGGTATGTCTGCAACAGACACTCCTGAATCTTTCATCCTGCCTCAGAGCAAACAGAGGACACAGTGATTTGGGTCCAATGGGGCAACCATAAGAGGGAGTCCAAATTTCTGCTGATCCCCTCTTCCCACCACAGCATCCCACATATGTCACATCCTTTCTGCAGTGTATTTTTTGGATGCATAGGGAGACTGCCAAAGGGAGAGAGAAATAGGAAATCCCTCTTATGTGAGTGGTTTGCTGCAACTGAGCCAGAACGTTTCGTTTGTGGATGTTCACAAGTTCAGGTGAAATTCGTCAACTGATGAGATCAAGTGATGCACATTCATCTGTGGAATTAGCCCTCTGTTTGTAGTACTGTACTTTAAACAAATAAAAATTGCTCAGTTCAGATAATCAGCACAAAACCTTTTCTCCAGGATGTAAAAGACAATTCCCATCTATGTCGCATTTGGCCTCAAAGCAAACGGGGGGGGGGGGGGGATGGTCAGGCAAATTCTCCTAATATTATTTGCAAAAAATAAAAATCTAACATTTCCTTTATTTTTCAACATTATAAATACAAGTCCAAATTAAAAGCAAACTAAATGTTTGCCATTCAAAAACTGGTATACCTCATGTTGCGTCTGCTTCAGGTTACGTCTTTTCAAGTTGCATCCTGCGGCAACCCGGAAGTACCGGAATGGTTACTTCCGGGTTTCACCGCTCGCAAATGTGCAGAAGTGCTAATTTGCACTGCGTGCATGCACAGACGCAGCGCTTCTGGATGTGAACGCTTCGAGTTGCGAACGTGCCTCCGGGATGGATTACGTCCACAACTCAAGGTTCCACTGTACAGATCACGGAACTTTGCTGTGTTCTGAATTTGTTGTCATTTTCTTTCAGATCTACCCCATGACAGCAGAGTAAGATCTAGATCTGAACGGCTACACAGCTAGCACTGTACTTCTGTTTCTCTTGCTGCATTCCCTCATTTCATATTTTGGCAAACTGAGACCAATTTTAAAATCGGGATCTGCAACTGAAAAGAGGGCAGAGGCAGTGAACTTTTATTCTAGTTGGACGCAAGCCCTTGGGATCACCTAGTGTGTCTCTTTGAATACTGGCTAAAGATCATGCATTGATATCAATAGTAGCGTTTTTGTTTTGGTACTTAAGATGATCAGTCAAGCCCCAAGCATGAAAAGCAAGGGCAATATATTATTGGGAAAGTTTTGCCCTTGGCCAGATAATCTCGTTTATTTGTCTTTCCCCATAGCATGTAGAACAATTTCTATAATTAAGCCAGCTGGGTTTTATTAAACATTTTCCTGGTCCGACAGGCACCTCTGGCATGATTCACCTTGATCCCTGATGTCTTATGTGTGCAGCACACTGTAAACGGAATTATTGTAGGCTATATATTATGGGCTACTTGTATTACTCCAATTAGCAATCCTATTCTTAGGACTGTGGCTCTTGTCTCAGTGCAGGGGAGGTTCAGCTTATGACTTCCAGGCGATTATTGAACACTAATGCTTCAGAATTATATGAATTTCACAAAACAATTGAACATGCAAGATTCTTGTTAACTAGGGGAAAAAAAACCCCTAAGAGCTCAGTGCTATAGTTTGCCTTGTCTAAGATTGCAAAGAACAAAAGGCTTGTGCTTTTATAGCTAAGTTTCTCCTAAATAGGAATTGGCAGAAACACCTCCTATTGGTTCCCCTACCGCCATTATGGTTGGGTTTCTGTTGAAATTCCACAGATCATGACAGTATCTGTTGGGCCTCCAAGAATTCTTCATCCTGGCTTCTGTGCACCCATCAATGCTGCTTTTCAGCATTGGGCGAACCCCCATCTCAACCACTGATTTCTTTATTAGGTGGAATTAAACAATCCCAACCCTGGAAAATGAAATTTCCTCTGAATTTCCATTCCACATCTGAATGGAAAATGAAATTTCCTATGCAATTCTGTCTCCTGCCAGGAACCTCTGACTTAATTTCCTATTTATTACAAGAAAGGTGATGTAACAAAATTTGTTACCATTCTCCTGATACTTTCAGCATCGTTTTGTCTGCTACACTGGCATGCAGAGGCAAGCACAAGGGATCAATACCGGTGTTGCAACATCGATGGCTCCTCATTGTATGACTGGATCGTTACTCCTGAGTTTGCCTATTCTGCTAGCAGATAATGTCAGCTTTGGACTGGGCTAAAAAGGTGCTTTTAAAAAAAAATCATTTTTGTGCACCAAATGGGAGAGGCCCAGGGTCATTATAGAATGGATGCTAACTATGCAATATTTTTTATGATGCAGTCTTGGCACATAGTCACCATTTATCTTCCTCTGCTTTAATTTATCTGATAATTATTGCCTCACAAGGCAAAGTTGGTAGTGTGAGAAAGCACCCTAAACTAACAATGCTACACACCTTAATGCAGTAGCCATCATAAAAAAAAAACCCTTCCAGGTAGATTCAGATGACCAGGAGCCTTGCAATAGACAGTGAAGTGCTTACCCTTTGTGAAATGGTGATAATGCTAGGCAAAACCATAAACCATGCTTTCGTAGTTACAGGCAGTGGTAGCTAACATAGTGCTCTTCTGACAATTTTTGACTACAACAGGCATCCCCAAACTCGGCCCTTCAGCTGTTTTGGGACTACAACTCCCGTCAGCCCTAGCTAACAGGACTAGTGGTCAGGGATGATGGGAATTGTAGTCCCAAAACAGCTGGAAGGCCGAGTTTGGGGATGCCTGGACTACAATTTTCCCCATCCCGGCCAGCATGGCTAATGATCAGGGGTGATGAAAGTTGTAGCCCAACATCATCTTGAGAACACTACACTGGCTACCGTTGTTAAAGTCAAACACTTCTCCCAGGATTTTAGATGCTACACATTAAGTTTCTAAGCAGTTACTGAGAGGCTCTCAGTTGTCTAAATCCAACTTTATTCTAACTTGTTCTTCGGAGCCATGTACAAGTTATGGAAAGAATAATAATCTATTTAAGTGCAGCCTTTTCCAAACTGGTGCCCTCCACTAATAATAATAATAATAATAATTTTATTATTTGTACCCCACCCATCTGGCTGTGTTTCCCCAGCCAATCCGGGCGGCTTCCACAAAGACCAAAAATACACTAAGATGTCACACATTAAAGATGTCTTCTTAATGTCAGGTAGTTGTTTATCTCTTTGACATCTGAGGGAAGGGCGTTCCACAGGGCAGGCACAACTACATATTTTGGACTACAACTACCATAAGCCCCAGGCAGCATGGCCAATAGTCAGGGATGGTGGAAGATGTAGTCAAAAGCACTACAATCCCCAGTAGGGGATTGGTGATTTAGGCAAGATGAAGCAATCAGCATAATAAATCAAGAAAATATCTCTCTTTTTGAACTTTACTTCACTCTTAGAGCTTATTTCATATTATTCAAGCTGTCAGTAGAGGATGAGACTCTTAATCTCCCAGGGTTGTGGGTTTGAGCCCCACATTGGATGAAAGATTCCTGCATTGCAGGGGGTTGGACTAGATGACCCTCGTGGCCCCTTCCCACTCTACAGTTCTATGATTCTAAGCACCTATCACTCTTACATTCTTTGGGTTTTTATGCACTGTGTCTAAAATGGAAACCTGTCCTTATTTTGCACACATTAAGCCCATTGCACTTTTTTTTGTTTAATATAAAGCATGGGTTCAGGGATCTCTGTAGCTCTCCCTCCCAAAGAAGTGGAGGAAACTGTTAAAAGTAAACAATAAAGTTAGGAGATTAAGGCTAAAAGTATTGGTGTTCATTATTCCTAATACTGATAGCCTGAATCTAACAAAGAAACATGCACTTTAACTGTCTGAACGAAACATCACAGTTTACATCAGGAGAGTAAAAAGGTACTGGGCACGATTCAGCCAACATGAAACATTTATAATTTCCATTGATGGAAATAGAAGCCATCTAAGGTCTTACTTAAATTTTAAGAAAGCGGCTGCTCCAAATTGTCCTTTATGTGCACTTCTGCATAGTTCCCCACCTACAGGGGGTGGGGAAAGGGAAGGAGGCTTGGCAGCAGATTGGGAAAATTGCAATGGGCAGATGGATCATGCCTTGTTTAACTTTGGCTGGATTGTGCCCATTATAAACAAATGTATAACCTGCCCTGTTAGTAACCCACTTGGATGTTTTATCTACTACTTAACGCTTAAGAAATATAGGAGAATAACACCCCATTTACACTCCCCGCCCATAATATACAGTATAAATATAGTAAGAACCATGCCATAAAACTATATGCAAAATTTGCACACTATTATTGCATGCTTGTGGTGATATTACATGCCGATTAATATTAGCTTGTTAGCTTTCATATGGTCCTATACTGAAGTTCATGTATTTTATTGTATAATTCAACAAGAGTCCTTAATTTGGGGGAATACAGTTGTCCTAGAGTGCATGTAACTCTTAAGGAAAACCAGTCATCAAATGCAATTTTCAACGTGTTTGCTTTCCTGCTCAATTGGATTGAATGGCAATTCAAACTTGAAATAATACCTAATATGTCTGTTCATGTTATGTAAACCGATCAGAATTCATTTTCCTCAGTTTTGGGGGGAGGTTTCCTTCCATTCTACCTCCTCCTCCTCCTCCTCCGGATAATCTTTGAAGTTTCGGTGGCAAGTCTGCCATAGACTGGCTCATAGGATCTGACAACATTTTTGTGGTTTTAGATACCAGTTTCTCTTCTGAGTTGCCAGGGACAGAACTTATTCGCTGGAGTTTCAAAGGTAGGTCCCCCATGCTGTAGGCTTTTTCCGAAGTGGTAGAACTCATCCTCAGCAGTTTTTTAGGAAAGTCATCCCTTCCAGTCATTTTCTGCAGTTTTGACGGTAGCTTTGTACCAATGTCATCTATGCCATCTAGACATTCTACAGAATTATTTCTTTCTTTACTGTTACTTACAGCTGGTGCTATTAATGGGGAGGACATAAGGAGCATTTCTTCCTGTTCTTTCACACTGTAAGGTGCTGTAGGGACTTCAAACGTTGCATGGAACTGGGAATAGTCTACTTTGAAGAATCCTTCCTCTAAGGAAATAACAGGGAAGAAACGATGGCCCCAAAGAACTTCATCTTCTGTGTAGGATGTTCTGGCTTGACAAGTCATCCCTACAAGTTCAAAGGCAAACAAGAGCTTGGTCAGAAACTTGAAAATAAAATGATTTGGTTCATATTTAATCCACTAGGTCTATTTACGACAGTGGAACATGGCAATGATTCACATGATAGAAACACCACATGAAACTAGCTTCCACATATAACAGAGCAGCTTGTCATGAGGATTCAAGGCATGGTGCAGACTTCATCAATTGCTGCCCCATAAATGCATAAATATTAATCACAATAAGAATATATTATTAATGCACAGCTGGCATATGGCACTGTACTTCTTGGAGACTCAGTTCATGCAGTAACGTGCTGAAATCAGAATTACTGTTACCTAGAATTGAAAATTGATCAAAAACAAAGAAGTCACATACTTATTATATGAAAGGAGAGGAGAGTCATACTTTGGTTAGAATTCCAATCAACAGTAGAAAGAGAGATATGAAAGCCAGGAGCAAAATGGCACCTTGAACCTAGATTATGGATGCAACAACAGAATTTCTAGGGGCACTTTTTTACAAGAATTCAAAGCTGAAAATGAATCAACTGCGGCTAAAATATTATGTTCATTTTCCACATGATCTGATCCTTCCCCCGCGGGTGGCGCTGTGGTCTAAACCACAGAGCTTAGAGCTTGCCGATCAGAAGGTCGGCGGTTCAAATCCCCGCAATGGGGTGAGCTCCCGTTGCTCGGTCCCTGCTTCTGCCAACCTAGCAGTTCGAAAGCACGCCAAAAAAGTGCAAGTAGATAAATATGTACCACTCCGGTGGAAAGGTTAACAGTGTTTCCATGTGCTGCTCTGGTTTCGCCAGAAGCAGCTCAGTCATGCCGGCCACATGACCTGGAAAAACTGTCTGCAGACAAACGCCGGCTCCCTCGGCTAGTAAAGCGAGATGAGCGCCCCAACTCTAGAGTTGCCCATGACTGGACTTAACGGGCAGCATCCTCCCTGACAGTAGCCAAACATGGCTACTGTAGTCCCAACCATGGGACATTTTGGGAACACAACTAGGCTGGCACAAGAGCTGCTCAAATGACTTTGTATACAAGCTTGGTAAAGAAAATGTTACAAAATGACTGCTGGGGAAGACCTACTGTTCACCTAAGAAAACCCATCACTTGGGGAGGAAAGATACATGCATGCAATTATATGCAAGTGGGATTTTTTGTAATTCTTTTCCAAATGAATATAAATTATATCAAAGCCCAGTTTTTCGCCCACTCTTAAATTTTGTTTATGAAATTATCACATAAAAGAACAACATAGCACAACAGGTTGGGTAGAAATTAATTTTAGACACAGAGCAATTACTCTGAGTAGTAATTACTCTGAGCCTAGGGCTTGCTGATCGGAAGGTCAGTGGTTCGAATCCCCGCGACAGGCTGAGCTCCTGTTGCTCAGTCCCTGCTCCTGCCAACCAAGCAATTTGAAAGCATGTCAAAGTGCAAGTAAATAAATAGGTGCAAGTAAATAAATCCGGCGGGAAGGTAAATCTGGTTTGCCAGAAGCGGCTTAGTCATGCTGGCCACATGACCCGGAAGCCGTACACCAGCTCCCTTGGCCAGTAAAGCGAGATGAGCACCGCAACCCCAGAGTCGTTCGCGACTGGTCCTAACGGTCAGGGGTCCCTTTACCTTTACCTTTTAGTCTTGCCAAGCCAGGTCCTTTATTTGCTGCTGTTCATTAGTTATAGCTACATTGGATTTGGGCTATTATGCCAACAAGAGGATCATCAGCTCCAGCCTCTCTAGATCTGCATTCAGCTAGAAATCTCATTACTAAAGGTTTGCTATAAAATGAATGAGTGGAAAATGAACACCACATCGTTAGATATTAGGTACAAGCTTGCAGTTTAGATGTAAGAAAACAGTGAGATAAAGCTGGAGTGGATTAAAAGTGAGAAGGCACTTTCATTGATGCTGTTCATAAAAGAAGGAAACCACATACTATCTGTCTCTAAGGAGTAACAAATAATTCCTAAGTCATTCAAGTAGTTAGTGATCCTATTTACGGTAATCGTTTTAGTGATGGATTTGTTTGTGGCAGAGTGTTAGGGCATGTGCAACCCCCTGCAATTGTCAAAATCCTGAGGCTCTGGCTGCATAATGATTTGGCGCCTGCAGCCAAGGAACTAGCTAGTTCATTTCATGAGTACAGTGGTACCTCAGGTTAAGAACTTAATTCATTCTGGAGGTCCGTTCTTAACCTGAAACTGTTCTTAACCTGAGGTACCACTTTAACTAATGGGGCCTCCTGCTGCTGTCGCCACGTGATTTCTGTTCTCAGCCTGAAGCAAAGTTCTTAACCCGTGGTACTATTTCTGGGCTAGCAGAGTCTGTAACCTGAAGCATCTGTAACCTGAAGCGTCTGTAACCCGAGGTACCACTGTATGTAAAAGTAGAACTGTGAGCTCTCCCCCCAACAGGTTGCTGTTGTCTCCCCTTCAGGTTATCCAGCCACAATGCTGCTGTGACTGTGAAAGCAACTACTGACAAAACCCTGTTCAGATGAGTAAAGCTAACAACCTGATGCTCTATGGCCCAGAGTCCCCAGCTTGCCAATCCTCCCTTTTGCCTGTCCACTTCCTTCATGCCAACAGTGCACAGTCCTGCTTGTTCCTAGGCTCTGCTTTCAGCCCTCTTTGCCTCACTTTTTTTAAATATAGCTTGCCTGTCATTTCATCAGACACCTATTTCAGTCCCCTCATAGCACCAAGCTCTTTCTGATGTTAGGGCCAGGGAAATTTTTTTGGCCTGAGCATTATCTTAGTGCATCTGTAGTATTCCAGGGGCCACAAGGCAGTGGTGGGCAGGCGAGAGGCAAAAACTGGGTGGCAAAATGGTTGTGACTCTTACCTTTCTATATTTCCAGCCCTGCAAAAGTCAGAGGTGCATATGCATATACCTCTCTAATCCAGGAAACCAAGAGGCATTATCACAATTCATCCCACACCCAGGCCAGTCACAAGATTGCTCGCCCATACCTTAAGTGATTTCAGCTATGCTCAAAGCACCTACCTATCTCCTATTTCCATGTCTCCTCTGTGAAGTTTCTGATACGTTTGCTTCCTGGAAAGTTTAACACTGAATGCCTGGACTAAGTTGAACAGTTCAGCTCACAAACATTCCATGGGTTTCATCACCACAAGCAAAATACAAGCAGTTATTAGAAATAAAACCCACCAAGGCCACAATATTCCTGTGAGGCCAAGTATGAATTCACCTTACTTCCGGTTTTTGGCTAATGCCAAACAAGCGTAGAACTGAGATGTCTCAGTGTTTAAGGTAAAGGTAAAGGCACCCCTGCCCGTACGGGCCAGTCGTGTCTGACTCTAGGGTTGCGTGCTCATCTCGCTCTAGAGGCCGTGAGCCGGCGCCGTCCGAAGACACTTCCAGGTCACGTGGCCAGCATGACGAAGCTGCAGCTGGTGAGCCAGCACCAGCGCAGCACACGGAAACGCCGTTTACCTTCCCGCTATAAAGCGGTCCCTATTTATCTACTTGCACTTAAGAGTGCTTTCGAACTGCTAGGTGGGCAGGAGCAGGGACTGAGCAACGGGAGCTCACCCCGTCACGGGGATTTGAACTGCCGACCTTCTGATCAGCAAGTCCTAGGCTCTGTGGTTTAACCCACAGCGCCACCCGCGTCCCATGTCTCAGTGTTTAGTTTGCTGGTTATTCTGTATGACTGGTCATCAATCGAGTAAAATCTGAGAAGAACTTGAACATAATTACTCTCCCCTCCTTGAACAAAAAGAAAAAGAGAGAAAAGAGAATAGGGGAAAAACTGATTCCAGATTGTATCTCCAATTGTGAGTTTTTCACTTTAGTATGCCAAGAAGCAAAAGCTATTGACTCTGATCCAGTTTGCATGTAATGCTAAGCCAAACCATGGCTTAAATGAGTATGAGGTTACTCAACGCAGAAATTGTAGCCACTTAGCTCCGCCCTTGGTCCTGATATCCAGAGCGAAGCCATAGATTGGCTTAGCATTAGATTTGAAGCTGGGCTTGTGATTTATCTCGCTCCAAATAAACCACAAGAAGACAAACCACAACTCCAGGTTTGGCTATAACACCTTAGCCCTAGGGAGCACGAAAGCCGCAGGGCTGGGAAAGGATTGAAGCCGCTACAATTTCTGCTATGAGTAAATGCACAACCATTCACCTTAGTTACATGTGAGCTGTACCACCATGTACAGTGGTACCTCGGGTTAAGTACTTAATCTGTTCCGGAGGTCCGTTCTTAACCTGAAACTGTTCTTAACCTGAAGCACCACTTTAGCTAATGGGGCCTCCTGCTGCCGCCGGAGCACGATTTCTGTTCTCATCTTGAAGCAAAGTTCTTAACCCGAGGTAATATTTCTGGGTTAGCGGAGTCTGTAACCTGAAGCGTATGTAACCTGAAGCGTATGTAACCAGAGGTACCACTGTATTGTGTCCCCATTGTTCCTGTGCTGCTCTTCATGCATGCATGCTACAGATGGGCTAAAAGCAGCACAGAAGGAAAATGAGAAATAACGATCAGCAAGTAAAAATATATAGCTGCAAAAAAGGCATTTTAGTGCAAAAAAACTAGGTACTGAATGATTCATGCTGATTCTACAGCATTCCCTCAAATAATCCTAAAGTAATTCCCAAATCTATGTACTTATTAAGGATGGATAACACCCTTAAAGGGGCGCAGGTGTCGTTGTGGTTGGCGATTCTAATCCCTGCAACAGGGTGAGCTACTGTCGCTCGGTCCCAGCTCCTGCCAACCTAGCAGTTCGAAAGCACACCCAAAAGTGCAAGTAGTTTAATAAGTACCGCTCCGGCGGGAAGGTAAATGGTGTTTCCGTGCGCTGCTCTGGT